TATTACTTTTTTGTATGGATTTAAAAGTTTGTTATATTATAAAGAGCTTGGTTGTCATCCGATTTTGCTATTTTGTAAACGGAAAATTGGTGAAGTAGTTCATGGATTATTGAGCTTCACTTGTATGTATTATATACATATGTATTTACCACAATAAGAATATGTACAAGAAGCCTGCCGATTTTCGCCCAAACATAATTTGAACTTCTTTAAGAAAAGAAGAGAATTATTAATATTGAAAATTCAATTCATAAAATTCGCTAATTTTGTATTATTCTTGCAAGTATTACTGATGACACACATATGTATGTAACATAATATGTATGAATGTATGTATATTTTGGAATCCAAAGCCATCTGCTACATTATTGCAGATGTGTTTGAAATTTGTTTGCCAATTGTGTTGTTGATAAGCACAAAGCTAAATTAATGATTCGTATTTGTTGTTATGCTATAATAAATATTAAACTAATTTAAAAGCACTCGTGAATATTCAGTATACAAATATTCTTACAGTGAATACTTATGCTGGAATGTAAAATTTCTACTGCAAAAGTGTCAAATTTCCAAATTTAGCATTACCTTCATTAGTGGCTATATATTAAGAGCAAAAAAACAATTAAAATTAGTTTCTGTGATGCATACGTGCCTTGCCATGTTTATACGATTATAAATGTACAGTACTTTCGTCAAGTCCTTATTACTATAAGACACATTCGCCGTATATTATAATAAAGATTATTGTTATCATTGAAATTTATCACTGCTTATTTGATATATGTTATACACATTTATAGATGACACTGGTGTCCTTGAAAAGAAATCTAGAGGCTTCCAGTGAAACTTGCTATTGCAAACGAAATTCGTTAAACGAACTGACGTTTGTGTGATTATGATAATTTCCAAGGAAAAAATTCCCCGGTCAAAATGTTTACAACATAGTTTTTATAAATAATATAAATGTTCTTAAAAATATGGTAATTATCTCATTCTCTTGCGTATAACAAACTTAATACCTACCAAAATTCGAATTGATCACAATGTTTTAGGAATTAGTGAATATCAATAAGAAAAAAACCAAATAAAAGTATACTTAAGGTATAATTCAAGAAGAAGTCTGATCATATTTTAAAATAAAAGAGTATATAATATTATATAAATTTTTATCCAAACCAAAATTAAGTGCATGACGTAATGTAAGTTTTATTGGACCAGGTGTTATCTCACTAGCAAAGGTTTTTCTTGCAGGGATGCTTCCTCGAATTAAGGAACTTATTACCTATCATATTATATCACCAAAATATCGTAAACAAACAAATATCAAAACAACCTTATGTTTCAGTAAACAAAATTTATCAAAATAACCTTATGTCTAAATGAACAGAATTTATTAACACAACATTATCTAAGAACAAACGAAATGTATTTTAACAAACAATATGTTATATGTAAACAACTATCAAGTAGTAATAAGTAAATAAACTAGTTAGTATAAATAGCAGTAAGATCTATATAACAAGTTAGTCTTAAGAATATCAATAAGGAGTACACTTTCGGTGCAGCTCAAAAGTATATTTTTAATGATTCATATCAAACCCCCTGCATTTCATTTCCCATTTTATTTTTTCCATTACAATTCAATTCGGCGCCTTCTCTCACATTTCACACTTTCTCATACCCACATACTTCAGCTTTATGGCAAACAGTTACTTACCGTGTGATGATGGTCGATAAGATGATGGTGGTGATGATACTTGGTGGAGTGATACGTCTGTTGATAGTAGGAGCACAGCTTGAAGAGATGTGACAATGCGGGAAAGAGGAAGAGAAGGAATTTGAGCAGCAACTTCTTGGCAGCGCCGACACCTATCACCAATGGCAACAGCCAGAACAATTTGATTTTGATGATTTTAATAATGAGCACAAGCGCCAGAAATGATAGCAATAGCTTGCTGCGCAAAAATTTCTCTGGAAATAAGATGTTTTGTTGTAGCACAATTAGTTAGATTTCATTGAAATTTCAAGTGCGTTCGAACGGCAATATAAGGGCAGGAAATTGTAAAACAATGAGAAGATTTACTGATGTAAAATACTTTTGGATATTTGTAGCTATTAAGGGAGATTTTATATTACAAATTTAATAAACAAACAAGTAAGCAACGCCTAAGTTCGGATGTAACCAAACATTTTATACTCTCGCAAAGTCAAATGATATACTCGCTTGAGATTTCTTTGTGGATTGACCGATATTTTCGGTAGAAGGTCAACTATAGGCACTGGGGTCCACATATTCAGTACCTAGGGGCTTGAACAGTTTTGGTTCGATTTAGACAATTTTTATTCACAAGGTGGCATACTTTAAACGTATTATTCACGCAAAGTTTTACCCATCAATCAGATGAAATTAATGGGAAATAGGCGTGGTTGTAATATGATTTCGCCCGTTTTCGCACTATAACATAGAAATATGAAAAGAATATTATGCACCGAATTTGGTATAAATCGGTTAAGCAGATCCCGAAATATGGGTTTTCACCTAAAAGTGGGCGGTACCACGCCCCCTGTCTAATTTTGAACGCGAATCCTTTAAAGTCATCTCATACAATCTCAAAGATAAAATTAAATGTCTCTGGCGTTATAGTGCTTTTTAACAGTACCGTTATATGGGCAGTGGGTGGGCCATTTCACCCATTTCACACTGTCGATAGTGGTGCTAAAAAAATTAGCTTTCAGTGAATTTTTTTATTATAGCTTCAGCAGTTTAGGACCACGCTCACTTTTAAAAGCATTTTTAAACTACAGATCCCCCCCTCCTTAATGTGATCTGCAATACCATCAGCCGTCTTACGGTACCAAGAAAAATGTGTACCAAGTTTCATAAAGATATCTCAATTTACAGTTTGCACGGACGGACGGACAGACAGTCAACCGGATTTCAACTCGTCTCTTCATCCTGATCATTTATATATATATAACCCTATATCTAACTCGATGAGTTTTAGGTGATACAAACAACCGTTAGGTGAACAAAACTAGTGTATTATAATCTGTAGCAACATGTTGCAAGAGTATAAAAATATGTATGGGCTATAAAATATGCTGTGAAACATATTATAGCTTCGGTGCTGCTGAAGTTAACGGTCTTGTTATTTCTTCAGTATGTCCAATTTTATTTAGAAAAGTAGTCATATGAAATATGACAATATTTTACAAGAAAATTAAAAAACACACATAATCTTCAACATACTATCCTTTGCATCATACATTATTTCAACTAATTAACAAGTATTATAATTCTTATTTATACTGGATTTATATATCTTTGTGTAATTTACGAGGGTATTCGTAACTGTACTTAACTTTACTCTGATTCGGTTAGAGCTAATTAAAATTTGGATGTTACATAGAAAGGCTCTCTAAGAAGATTGACGAAATATGTCACACAATAATCATGTTGAGATGTCATTATAATCTTCACCTTATGCTGGGCGCATAAAGCTTACTAACCTGTATGTAATACAAGACAAGGTTTAAAAAAAAAATAATAAAAATTGATATTTAAAAATTTTTAACTGCAAGTTTATAAATGAGTTTAAATGAGCTCTTCAAAAAAACTATAAACATAATATATACACTTCCATATTTCATTTCGTTAAAATATTATTATTCCATTTTTCGATTAGCAGAACTTACGTATCTTCTTCATGATTATTTTGCCGGCCAAACGGGCTTCCACCTCCTGTTTTGGTATCAACTCCAGCTTTGCAATAATTCCGTTCCCTTCGAATGAACGTGGAGAAATACGAAATGTGGCGCCATCGAACATCATCTCCGGCAATTTAATTGCCAAATCGTGTGTCATAGCGAATTTTATGCTTTTGCCGTAGAGGGCGTTGGTAACTTCTTCAATGGGCGTTTCAGTTGTATCACTTTCTGTATGGGCTAAAAAAAGAAAAGAAAATTATTGATGTGCAAAATTCACAATAAAATATTTTTCAAATCATTTTGTTTGCATCAAAGAAATTTATGTAAGTTATTAACTTTTAAATGAAAAGGCAATTTAATTTAAAATTTTGTTAGTAGCACGTATAAAGCAAAAATAATATATATTTGTTATTTGAAAATATTAAAAAACAAATGTTTGTTTCATAGTTAAGAGTTTTATTTTATTCCACGGAAAGCAAACATTATTTGGTATAATTACTCACATAATCTTCACCAAATAGGTCTCATAAAACATCCCAGCTCTGCTTAGGGTACCAACTTGCGGGAATTTTCATTTGTTAAAAAAAACATTATCCACTGTAAGAGATTTTAGTTCTACAAAAATCCCAATGCACAAAGAAAGTTTATTAATCTATTGCAAACACTCGTTATACGCTATTGAGACCCTTTTCAATGGTCCTAACTGATTCACTGAACTGACGTTTTGAGCTCTAGCTGCCTCGAAAAACCACTTGATACTGATATGCTCTAAAATAAAGACTTTCGCATGATAAACTTCCTCGGTGATCGTTCGGTCAAGCTTACCGTTCTTTTTCTATGGTCCGATCCCGCCTGAAACATAATCTATACAAAAATAACCTAAATAATAATAGTCACGGATTTTGAAGTAAATGAAAAGAGTTTCACTCGAATCTGCGAAATAAAGAAGCATTTAAAATTGTTACTTTAACTCAAGTAGTTTTGACAACATGAGATTAATTATTTCTCTTAAAGATCACAAAATATCCAGTCGTAATAAGCTACTAAATAATTTGCTCCTCTTTAATTTCGTTTATAGTCATTTACCTAAGAAGACTTGCTTCGGTCGCACTGCAGTGGAAATTTCGTCAAGGATGACATGATGCGAGACTCTCTCATTTTCGCTGATTTTTCTGTTATTCTCTTTCCCTGATTATTAAAATCAGGGAATTTCGAACAGCTGATATCAAAAAAGGCGGGATGCCAGAAATAAACCCGCTAAAAATAGCTAACAAAGACAGTGCGAAACGAAATTTCAAGGAACGACACAAATACTTTTGAATAACGTGCAACTAAATTTTATTTGTTAATTTAATTTAAAACGTTCATTATAAAACCATGATCTTTTATTATGACTTGTATTGTTCCTTTGTTATAATTTTTTTTATTTATATGCTATTTTTTTATGTTATATGATTTTTTAAAAATTCTATAATATAAATACAAGTATATAGGGATGTACCTATATGCGTTATATAGGCCTACTCGGGGACGGAGCACCTAAAAATAATATCGAAATGCAAAATACCCAAAAGTTTTTTTATAACACCCAATCCATTTTCTTTCGACAGTGGCATGATTGGAAAATGTTATAAAAAATGTGGGTTTTGACAGCTCTCTCTTGATTCAAAGAGTCTCGCATCATTTCATCCTTGATTTCGTATAACTCTTCTCCTATTTTCCACTACACTGCCAATATAGTTTTCATTTACTATTTGGTCTCTTATACTGCGTTCACATGGGGATTCTTTTGCGCTCATTATTGGTAAATTCTCTTTTGGTGTCGGTTCGTGCGTTCACACGAGCGAAAAGAGTCCAGCAATTCGAGGTGAGTTTTTCTGTCATTCCTTTTTATAAAATTTTCGCAAATGTTTGTACCGGTTCAGCAACGCGGAACTTAGAGCGTGTTGCATAGTTCATTTGTATGTTAGTATGGTGGTCTCATATTTTGCTTACAAGGTATTAGCATAAATGTGGTAGAACAATATGTATAATAAACGCTTAATAGTTATAAAGAAATACTTAAGTCGGGTATTCTATAGTCCACCAGAATGTACCCGATACTAATATTTTCAAAGCCAAATTAATGACATGAATATCCTAATCTTTCGGGAAATATTAAAAACCCTTAATTGTTTTACTTTATTTTTTTTCTATTTACTATAAGCCTCCATGAACAAAAATTTCAACTCTTGTTTTATATATTGTAAACTGATATTCAAACTAAATCCTTCGTGGTTAAAAGGAATAAATATCAAAGCATCTTAATATATTATATAACTATAAAAAAAAGGCGCTCCATTTTTTTTAAAATTCATAAATGTATATATTATTGTATTACATATAATACCGCTTAATGTTATTAAAAACATTTTTGATATATCTTAATTTTCTCCTTGTTCACAATTTTTATACTCTCGCAACCTGTTGCTACAGAGTATAATAGTTTTGTTCACCTAACGGTTGTTTGTATCACCTAAAACTAATCGAGTTAGATATACGGTTATATATATATAAATGATCAGGATGAAGAGACGAGTTGAAATCCGGCTGACTGTCTGTCCGTCCGTCCGTCCGTGCAAGCTCTAACTTGAGTAAAAATTGAGATATCTTTATGAAACTTGGTAGACATGTTTCTTGGTACCGTGAGACGGTTGGTATTGCAGATGGGCGTAATCGGACCACTGCCACGCCCAAAAAACGCCATTAATCAAAAACAAATAACTTGCCATAACTAAGCTCCGCAATAAGATACAAGACTGTTATTTGGTACACAGGATCACATTAGGGAGGGGCATCTGCAGTTAAGAACTTTTTTTAAAAAGTGGGCGTGGTCCCGCCTCTAGTAGGTTTAATGTGCATATCTCCTAAACCGCTAACGCTATAATAACAAAATTCACTTCGCCCACTCCCCATATAACGGTACTGTTAAAAACTACTAAAAGCGCGATAAATTAAGCACTAAACACGCCAGAGACATTAAATTTTATCTCTGAGATGGTATAAGATGACTTTATAGGAACAGCCCACTTTTAGGTGAAAACCCATATCTTGAGATCTGCTCAACCGATTTCAACCAAATTTGGTGCATAACGTTCTTTTCATATTTCTATGTCATAGTGCGAAAATGGGCGAAATCGGACTACAACCACGCCTATTTCCCATATAACACCATTTTTAATTCCATCTGATTCTTTCACTTTCCACTATGCATATCAAGCAACAAGGATTATATCGGGTTAAAACTTTGCGTGAATAATACGTTTAAAGTATGCCACCTTATGACCAAAAATTGTCTAAATCGAACCAAAACTGTTCAATCCCCTAAGTACTAAATATGTGGACGCCAGTGCCTATAGTTGACCTTCTACCGAAAATATCAGTCAATCCACAAAGAAATCTCAAACGAGTATAGGTACTATTTGACTTTGCGAGAGTATAAAATGTTCGGCTACATCCGAACTTAGCCCTTTCTTACTTGTTATATATTATTTATTTATTAATTTGAAACCGAGCGCAATTACAACCATGAAAGGAATTTCAAAATGATAAGAACTGCTAAATTCCGTAGCAGCGAACTGTTACGAACTAAGCGTGTCACCCGAGCACGTAGGGCACGGTCCGTTCGCCTTTCCTCTTCGTCCCCTCGCTCACAAAAAAACCGGTTTGGGCGACAAAAGAGTCCGTGTGTGAACTGCGCAGCAAACATTTCTTTTTAATACTCCCTACATTTTGGGTATTTAGTATTTGTATTTGTTTTGGGCAGCTGCAAATAAGTTGGCCAACTATGTAATCACGGCACGGCAGAGTGGCAATTGATTCGTTGGCAAATTCGGTTTGGGCACGGGTGGTTTAATTCTGAAATTCGATTTTGTGTCGGAGTAAAAGCAACTGCCACAATCGAGTCAATTCGCTTTGGGGCTAAAGTTCCAAAGCAATAAACAAAGGCTAGTAACCATGTAGAGTAGAGTGTAACTATATATGTATGTGTGCCTTAGTACAAGTTGGCGATTGTAGGCCACACGGAAGGCGAAATGTAAGAGCTAATACTTGCCAGCAGTAAACGGACTGACGTCAATAAAATGCTGCTCGATTCAAGAAGCCTGAAAAGCGTCTATGCACATTCACGCAGACTTTGAGATTAAAGTAAAAGTAAATCATTTAATTTCCCACGAGTTTGGCTGGTTTAGAATGTATAAGAGAAAATCTACACATATTCAGGGGAATGGATGTAAATCAGTGAATATAGACTAATTTGGAGAACAGTTCAACTATGAATTGAAGGGGCACAGTTCAGTTGGGCCCACTCATAAAAAAACATTTTAGGAGTTGAAACGTAATTCAATCTTCCAAAAAATACACAATTTTATTCATTACCCATATTTTCACCCATGAAAGTTAAGAATGACCTTAAGGTACTCAGAGTTTAAGTTTTAGATACATTTTTCCCAAAATGTCGGTTCAAATCTTGATCGAAAAATTTGCAGTAAATTGTTTCTAATAGTCCCATTATAACACAACAGTCGAGCATTGTTTACTAGATAATAACGGTGATCTAGGTATAGGTACTTTTTTCAATAGCCTTTTTTTTGACAGATCACGCGTAAGTCGAATCAAGCTGTCATGTTATTTTGGTTTAGTATTGTTTGACATTTAATCATGGAAAGACTTACGGCTGAACAACGTTCACAAATCGTTCAACTTTATTATGAAAATTCACGTTCTGCAAGTAATGTGTTTCGCGCGCTTCGCTCAACTTATGGCCAACATAATCGGCCTACTGAGCGAACTATTCGCAACACCATCACCCATCTTGAGAACCAGAACATTATTGGATAATATTCGACCGAATAGACCGCGTTCAGCACACAGTGATGAAAATATAGCAGGCGTAGCTGAGAGTGTACACGAATACCGTGGAGAGTCGATTCGGCGCCGTTCGCAGTAACTCGGATTGACGTATAGAACGACTTGGCGCATTTTACGTCGATATCTTGAATTGAAAGCGTACAAAATACAGCTTGAGCAAGAACTCGTCCTGCATAAGCGACATAGCTTCGCTTTATGGGCTCTTGAAAAGTTCCAAGAAGATTCGACGTTTTTGAGTCAAATTTTGTTCAGCGATGAGACCCATTTCTGGCTTAAAGTAACCTGAAGAGATTCAAAAGCTACCATTTCATCCACAAAAACAACGGTGTGGTTTGTGGGCCAGTGGAATCATCGGTCACTATTTCTTCAAAAATTCGACAAGACGGTGCCGCTTCCCACACATCGCATCAATCAATGGATTTATTGAGAGAACACTTCGGTTAGCAGATAATTTTACGTTTTGGACTGGTGGATTGGCCACCAAGATCATGTGATATCACACCGTTAGGCTTTTTCCTGTGGGGATATGAAAAGTCTAAAGTCTATGCGGAAAATCTTCGCTTCGATTCAGATCTTGAAGCAAAACATCACGCGTGTCATTCGCCAGTTACCAGTCGAAATGCTCGAACGAGTCATCGAAAATTGAAGTCAACGAATGGACCATCTGAAACGTAGCGGTCAAAATATATAATATATGCCAGGTAATGTTTTTTCGAATGATAATAAACATTCCCATTAAACTTGAATTTTCTGTGTTTTTTGATTAAAAAAGTAAGAAACCTCGAAATGGATCATCCTATTTAACTATGAAGCTACACTTAAAACTTTTATTGGATTTGCGTTATAATCTCCGAGTATAGGGAAATTTTTTTCTACACCATCCTATCAATTGAATAATATCGATAAGAACAGAAAGTGCCTATACTGTAAGCCAAACAAAAATGATCGATTTTCTGAAAATCCTAGGCTAAACTATGTTATGATTTCTTAAAGTTTGAGTGGCATATTTATATATGTTCTTAAAAAGTGCACTTAAACATTTTCATTTTATATACAGCTTATTTCCATTTAAAGACATTCGTGTAAATGTACAGGTTGGTTGAAAAGTTGGTTGGTCTCCACTGTATTCACCAGATTTGGC